CGTTCATTGTTAATAAACACTGATGCTTTGACGGTTTACCTTTGTAAGGAAATCTGTGATTTGCAACTCCTACTGAAGCATGGATGAATTCTAAGCATGATGTTGACTCGCTATTGAGTATTGCTGCTTCACACTATACATGTTTCAGAACTGATAAAAAATTCAAGAAGGGGGAGGAGTCGCAGTACCAGTTAAACCTCAGCATTCTATAACTGTTGTTCTAAGTGAATCTATCCGAAACTTATGAACTTTTTGTTTGCAACATAGTTTACTTTGATGAAATAAGAATAATTACTGTTTACAGAGCACCTAATTTTCCTCTTTTCACAGCGACAGCTTTTTGAGACATTTAGTGATCTGGTGAAGTTCGCTCAGTAAACCCTATGATATATTGGTTTCCTCGTGTTGAAACCAATGATTGTGTCGGAACTAGTTGGGCAGAGGTAGGTATGAAAACGGCCATAACCGTTCGGAGGTGGTGCCACCAAGAACAATTGTCTCACAAAATAAATTAATTTATTGTTTACACACGAAAGCAACAAAGCAATGCGATAAAACATAAAATTCCTTATCAAAGACACTCACATAATAAAACAACTTACAACCGCACTCAGGGAGTGGTTGTACCGGATTCCTGGTGAGAACAGCGGCTAGGAATACGAACTCCTCACAGACGGCTCCCGGCTAGCAGCAATGAAGGCGAATCCAGACGGACGCACGGCAGCAGTGACGCACGCAATTGTGATAGTGTGACTCCAGACAGTGTGACTCTTAGGACTGTACTTTCCCGCGCAGACTTGCCGCGCTCCCCTGAGTATCAATTTACGCGATTGTGCACATAATGTGCTACGATCTACGACACACATAAAAAAAGACATAACTGAAGCAGTACACAATTAATGCAAGGCTAAGGTAAGTTCTCATTTTAGTCAAGGTAAGTAATACAATTGAATGCCTAGTTTGGTAATTACCTCGACCCGCACATGCTTCCCTCAAAAAAAAGATCTGCCCCCAGATAACTAGCTTCCCGCTCAGCCCTGCACGCTATTCCATACTTGGGTCGTCGAGCTTTTTCTCTGTCGCTCGCTGCAAACTTCGGAGTTTCCTTTTTTCCACACTCTTCAAATGGCACTTGGAAATTTGCCCATCCTTTACCGCCGGCCCTCCTGAAGACTGCGTGTGAACAACCACCGATGAATTACCCTTCGGTCTCAAAGCTTTCGGAATCTTGACAGTCTCGAGCTGCACGAACTCCTTCACTTGGTGCCCAAGAAATCCATAGAATTCGATTGCCTGATCGACGGTCCACCACCTATTTCCGTCATGAACCAAACCAACTTCCAGACAGGCCATAGCCGAGCTGAGAACACGTCGCTCCAATGGTAATATGTAGTGCAGTTGGCTGAGAAATGCTGGATAAATGTCTACATACCCATTTGAATGATTTCTTTCGTTTTTGCTCATTCTGTCCCATCTGTTGAGTTCTTACGATCTGGGTCCGTTGACAACAATCACGTGCGCTCCACAAGTTAACCACAAGTTCATCGCGTCCACGAACTGCAACCACGAGAACAGATCCGTCGGTTCCTTAAGGGGCAGCACATAAACACTTTTCCGATATCGCCCGCAAAAAAGAGTTTTATTAGTAGCTCTGACCCCCCGGAACGACTTGGAATAGAAAATAACTGTCTGACTGGTTGTCAAACAGTGTTTGAACCGAGCCCCTGCAAAACTTCGTGCATCACGACTACTGTACGACCACGCTCCTGTACCTTTTGCACCGACTGCTCCACGTATTTCCATTCCATCTGTCTCCGATTCCCCAGCCATAATCTATGATCCTCGTCAGATTCAGCGACCGGCCTTGAATCTGCGAATGACAAAAGAACACTTTTTGCGGGACTGTTCCAGCCATAATCCCAACGTGCAGACACCGGTGGCGGAAGAAAGCATACGCACATCTCACTGCTTTTGGCCTCAGCGTCTGATGAGAGCGATTCATTATACGTTGCACTTTCAGCGATATCAAGCCGAGATCCCACCTTATGGATAAAACACGCGCGGCATCCAGAACACACTCAATACGCTCCTAGCATGCCGGCTGAACGACTTCAGACAGAATATCCTTTACAAACGTATTTCGACTACAACGACATGTCTCTAACGGGAAGGCTGCTCTGCCGTCCAACGCCGGAAATGGTTGGCCATCACAAAGGAACTTAACATGAAAAAAATGCATTGCGTTGGCCGCTTCGTACTCGTCTTCGAGCCTGAAACGCAACTTTTCATTCATCATAACCTGTGCACAGGAAACGCCGCAATTATCTTTGGGTTTTCTACCCCTCCTTCTCCTAGAGACTACATTGACTGATTCATCATTTATCTCATTAGGGCAACTAAAGGTCAAACCAGATTTGTCATAAGCGCCGAGTTAACATTGATCTCAATAGCCCTGAAAGGCCCACTTCAGTCAACTGCAAGCTTAGGGTGTTTAACCATGCACCTCTCCCCGGGCATTCCATGAATACTCTGTCGCCTACCTTGGGCTTGTAGTGGTTGTTCACCCCTTCTTCTCGTCATAACTGCTTCATCCTATGACGATATACCTCGTTGTGCTGCATCACCTCGTCTCGTATGAGTTTCATACCACGAATCAACTCAGATTTGTAATCGTCTAGGTCGATATGCCCTAATTTAACATGTATTAATTCTCCGGAACTGAGTTTAATGGCAAAGTTGGGACGAACCCATGAATCAAGAAGAACGAACTCAATCTTCTTTTTCAGAATTCTCTGTGTACTGACGATTGCTCTTTCTGCTGCTCCATTTTCTCGTGAGTTATACCCTTTCGTTAATGTGTGGTTGATTCCCTAAATCTTTGCTAGCTCACCAAGCACTTCTTTCACGAATTCGGATAATTGATCCGTATGCAACTTTTTGCCAGCAGCGTCCTTCACAAATCCAGCGCTGAAAAATCACATGCGCCACTGTGTTTGCTGACTTATCTCTCTTTGCATCGCCACTGCGCCAGTGCCGCGCTACCTCTGCTACCACTGCAATCTCTACCTCTTTCAGATTCTTATGTATTTGACCGTATACCTTGAGCTCCTCCATCGGCATTTTCGGCGCCACTGGCTTCGGCCATATCGACACCCATGGCGGCTTGGTGGACCGGCTCACCGCCTGCAACCAAAGCGTGATTCAGCGTCCTCTTCGCGTCCTCAGACGCTGCCGACTCAGCCATTACGCAGTGGTCAGTACGGTGTGGTGCCCCGTCCCTCTTATTGCAGAAATCAATAGCCCCGCACGCATCGCAAGAAATTCGGGCAGAGGTTAGAACGCGTTTATTTAGTGGAAGGTTCTGCAGTCTGAAAAATTTTCCCGCGCAAGGGCATATGAATGCGATTCATCGGGGCGCGCTGCTCAGCAGTTGAAATCCTCCTGTTATTCCCGATCGCGTCCATTTTCACTGATCACTCTTCTGTTCTCAGTACTCGTGGATTGGGAATCACGTTTCACTTTCGCCGCTTGCTGCCTACTTTATGTTTTTTCATGCTTCTTGAATCTGTAGAGTTATAGCTCTGCAAAGAATACTGCTGTGGGTAAGCGAATTCTTGTGTAGGTCCTCCTCTTGGGCTTTACACCTGTCGTCATGAGCATACAGTGTCATGACCCTAGTGTGGTTTTGGAGAATGAGACGAAATTTACAACTAAATACTCCGCAATTTGAAAATATACTATGGGTGATTTCATTTTATTCTTCACAAGTCATATTAGTGAAACAAAACCCTTCGTGAAGTTAGTGATACCTGATTTTAGTTTGCTAATAGTATCCTCCTGTCTTTCTAAGCATGGAACAGTTTTCTTGTGTCGATTTGTTTGTCTACCTGACAGTTTGCAGATTTGTCTGTCTATCTCCTCATCCGTAAGAATTCCCATGTTTATTATTGAGAAAAGTACATGTAAGAATTCCCATGTTTATTATTGAGAAAAGTACATGGAATCCTTCTTCAGAGCTGGTAGCAACGATTAGGAGGAAGCTTAAAGGATAGCTGAAAGTGTTATTGATAGCACTAATGGTATTGCAGGGGTGCCATCAACTTTACCTTATTAGTCTCCAACTTCTCTCTTGCTTTAACCTCGGCATAGATGTTTCTGGTTACAATACTCTTGTGCCGTGCGAGGTTGTTAGGTGGTACATTTATTAATCACAACGGCCTAACGTTTCGACGTTCTCGTCTTCTTTAGAGGCCAAGGTTCCACCGCTCAAGCGGATATAAAAACCGCTGTTGCCACAAGCGACGGTCGATAGCGAAACCGACACCTTATTGCCTCATTAGTTCCAAGCAACTGGTAGCCGTTAATATCGATTTGCAGATTATTTGATCAGATTTGTAACTTAGCTTTATTCCATAGTAGAATAACCAAAATGACAAGGTATACACGCGAATGTTGGTACTTCAGCGCTATGGTTTCAACAATTTTCGAATGCACTTTTGCAGTGCTCTCGAGATTTGAGAGCTTTGCGCTTGTAAGCAAAGACGTTCAGCAGTGGATAACGCCCTGCGAACTTTGAATCAACAGCAGTTTCACATCAAAATTACTGAAGACAGGAGCTCAAAAATCACGAAAGCATTCTCCAACGGCCTCAGCACTGGTTTGAGGCGTACTTCCCAGTCTCATCAGAACCGTGGTATTTTTTTAGATGCATGCCACGAATTTTAATGAAGGAAAAGACAATAGGTCCCTTCTCAAAATCAAGCCCACCTTATCTTAACTGCATTTGCATGAAGTGAATGGTACCAGAAGTGAATGCACAGTGAACATAACTAGGCATGAGTCCGAATAAGAGAAAAGAAATAAAATTGAGTTTTGAAAGAATGAAGATTTCATTCCACTCCTGGATTTACACGAGAGTCGTGACGCTATATGCTCATGGCAACAAGTGTAAATCTTGAGAGAAGGGTCTGTACAGTGATTGCTTACCTACAACATTATACCTCGTAGTAAGTGACAGTAGTCACAGATTTAATTGTGCAAAGAGGATCGGAGACGCATAACATGTTGAGACCAGATCAGAAGTGATGAGCAGAGGAACCATTAGGTGAAACGAACATGCTAGTAGTAGAATCGGCAACGTGGAAGCCTTTTGCAAGGTTAAAGCAATGAGCTACTACAAGGGTAAAGCGCTCCAATGGTGAACGCATTCAAATATGCGCACGAGAAGATTGTTTAAACTGCAGAAGCTTCCACCGAGGAAACGCGTTCCAGAGGTCACCCTTAGGTGAAAGGGTGTACCTCTATCGATTCCTACAAAAAGGGAACCAGGTACCACACTGATCCAGCGAGCTGGATCTCTCCTGAGAAAAATCACTCATCCGCTAGTTGTGAGCCACGTTAAAGCCACTCGAGCCCACTCAAGGAGCTTTAACGTAGGTAAAAAAAATGCACGCACCTTCAAACCGCGGCGTGGCTCCCAATTTGGACAGGAGTAGGTATGAAAACGGCTATAACCGTTCGGAGGTGGTGCCACCAAAAGAACTGTCTCACAAAATCAATTTGTTAATTGTTTACACACAAAAGAAACAAAGCAATGCGATAAAACAGATAAGATTCCTTATAGAAGCACTCAGGGGAGTGGTTGCAACGGCTTCCTGGCGACAACAGCGGCAGGGAATACGAACTCCTCACGGACGGCTCCGGGCTAGCAGCAATGAAGGCGAATCCAGACGGACGTACTGCAGCAGTGACGGACGCAAAAGTTATCCCTCCAGGCAGTGTGACTCTTAGGACTGTGTTTTCTCGCCCAAACCTGCTGCGCTCCCCTGAGTATCAATTTACGCAATTGTGCTACGATCTACGACACACATAAAAAACAGTAAATAATCAAAGCAGTACACAGTGAATGCAGGGTTAAGGTAAGATTTAGTGCCTAACTTGGTATTTAATTCGACCCGCACAAACTAAGTTTACTGAATGTACCTCATGGTTTTACTTTGTACCTCATGGTCTTACTCAATTTATTCCATTCTACTTTCACTGGATTCATTACTAAATTTACTATTATGCAACAGTTCGTCTTGCTATACTCAAACTCAATTTTCATGGTGTTTCCCATTGAAAGCAGGGACCGCTCTAGTAAGAAATTTTTCCTAACTTTTTCTAAACATTACCCTGCACATAGGTGGTGTAGAAACTCTAGTAGTGCTATCTTTTGTGCTATGCATTATTATATAAGTAAAGTTGATCGGCAAGGTACCTTCAGGGGTGTGAAATGAGTGGATGCTAAACATGAAATGTTTCATGCGATCGTATACCATGCGATAGATCTCTTCATACATATTGGGGGCTAGTGTGTCAATGTCCGAGTTACCTCCAAATCTTCTATCGATGTGGAACAAAAGAGAACAGCTCTGGAATCAAGCCGTGAATACGCAACTGCCTTCGGAATGGAAAAGATACCTTTTTTGACAAAAAATGTACTTAGATGCTGAGTAAATACTGCGCTTATGTTGAGGGCAAAATGCTGTCCAGAGGCGAGGTTAAAGGTTTTACCTCACAACTTGAACGCGAGGCTTTCAAATAAAGCATGCATTACTACTTTAAGCAAGGATCCAATAGGGGCAGTAACTGATGAAAACAGAGCTGAAATGTTAACTGATACTTTTGTAAAGGCCTTTGCTTCACCTTGGAAGCTTGTATCCTAGTATTGATCGCACCGGTCCTGCTCCTTTGTTTTTCAGAGTGGATATTGCGATGACGCTGCTTGAATAGGCATCATCAGCCTCCAATGATCTTTATGGTCTTCCATATTTGGTCGCCAAGCAATGCATTCATAAAATCACTGGTCCTTTTAGGTTACTCTTTAATCTTACCTTAGTTCTAGGAACAGTGAATTTCCAAGCAGATAGGAACACGCCATTGTCATTCCGCTACCCAAAAACAACTACTGTATGATACTGGAAACTACAGGCCTGTAAGCTTGACCTACCGACCACTTTGCCAGAGTTTTCGAGAAAATCCTCAAGAAATACATCACTTCTCACCTAGTAGGTGGTGTGATTCTAAATTCTCTTCTTGGCTTTTGTAAAGGTAGATCTATTGAGACTTCATTATTAAACTGTTTCAGTGGCTGGACAACGTCATTGGATTGGGGGAATAGCGTAGTATAGTATATTTCGATTTCCAAAAAGGTTTGCTAAAGTTTTCTGAGTTATTGGCTCAAAAACTGGTACATCTTGGTTTCCATCTCCTAGTGAGAAAGTGGGTGAAAGGTTTCTGCATAACAGGACTTTTTATGTTTTAGTGGAGGACTCTTTCTCGCCAGTTCGTACTGTGAAATCAGGAGCGTCTCAAGGTGGGGTAGTTTCATTGGTTTCGTTTAACATATTTACTTCAGTTTTTTAAGGATCTAGATGTGGTCTGCAACCATTATGTAGATGACATAAAAATCTATAAATAGGTCTTCGGAGTTGGTGCTGATATAAGTCCCCCAATAAGCATTTGATAAAGCAGCTGAATGATCTGTAATCAATCATCTTCCACTTTTCATCGAGAAAACGCAAATGCTGTGCCTGTGCGAGCATGCTCGAAATCCTTTATCGTTTGGGTGGCTCGATTCCTAAAGTGGCATCAGAATTCCGTTGACTACTCATCATTATAAGGGTCTTGACTTTTCTAATCATTACAAAGTATTAGTTGCAAAAGTCCTCCCTCCGAGCCCCAAGGTTTTCGAAGTACTTTGCACTAATGACTTAAATACTTCGCTTAGGGCTCTCAAGGTTTACGTTCGTCCCATTTCGGAATGTGGAAAAGGAATGTCGATGTTCTCACAGTTAAGAAAAAAAGATATTCATGCTTTGGAAGGAGTACAAAATAGTATCGCTCGCAAACTTCAGAAACTCATGATTCGAAGTCATCGTTTTAATTGTAATGAAATAGCTAGCGGAAATGAGCGTAATACGATACTCGGTCTAGACTTTCTTGAATGGAGAATAAAACATTTGATATGCTCATGACATACAGAATTTTAAATGACATAACTATCATGGATTTTCCTGAATTTTTCACAGTTGTGTATTGTGGTACGCGAGGTTCCACAGCTAAGTTTCAACCATGCCAGCAAGAACCCAAATTGAGTCGCAGTCTTTCAGTAACACTACACTTCTTACACTTCGAATGAACATAAAATTACAATTGTATCGTCTACATTTACCTGGGACTTCATATTAAACTTATTGGAAA